GAGAGAGAGAGAGAGAGAGAGAGAGAGAGAGAGAGAGAGAGAGAGAAGCAGAGGGTTTGCCACAGCGCTGGGATCAATTCTCATACCACCGAAGAAGACAGAGCAGCATAATGTGAACCGTGGGATTTCTTTTTTTGTCTTTTTCGTCATGCAGTTCGTAGAGAGTTTTTACTTCAGACCATCAGCTTCATGCAAGTTTGTTGCCTGCAACTTTGTTTTTGTAGCAGGTGCCTGGAGAAAATCTCAAGTGCTGTTCGCTGTAGTTTTTGCTGTGGAATGAGAAAAAGACAAGACAGGACAGGGTTGTCAAAGGAATTTTAGCCCAAGCTCCAATCACCGCGCTGTCCGAGGACTCCTCTCCAGCTGTCCAAGCCTCTGTTGACATGTCCTGCCCTTTATCCCCCAGCTCCTCTCCCACCAAAACAGTCACTGATGAGGTGCAGAAAGACCAAACTCCACAGGTCCCACCTCGCATCAGGACACCCCAAACTCTAGAAGACGCACATCAGTCAAATCAACCGGACACTCAGCCGGCACTGCCTGCTCAGAGAGTCACTCAATCCAGTAAGTCGTATAATCTGCATATAATACTTGTTAAGAAGGATATTTTGGGGGCATTTTATGCATTGATTGGATAGTGATAGTTGAGAGAGTGGGGAACAACATGCCACAATGGTCCTCAGCTGGATTTGAACTGGGGTTCATGGTCGGCATCTTGACCCCTGAGCCTCTACGAATTATAAATTATATTGAACCTACATTTCTGAATGGTAAAGATAGGGAATACCGTGACTTTCATCACTTTCTGTAAATTTCTGGTTAAATGGTGCTAAAATATTGTTTAACTAAAGTCTGTATCAGCACAGTATGTCACTCAACATGCGTTCATAAATACATCTTGCTTAAGGCTACTATTACTGAAGTGCCACAATTTGTAATTAAAATGGTGAATAGGTCATTTTGAACCATGGCTGTAGCCTCACAGTGAAAGTAGTGTTCTTACTGTAATTGTAAATGTCATGTCAATTCAATTAGAGAAATAAATTGGGCCATGAGTGTCTAAAACTAAGTAGTTTGATAGAGCTAAAAGAGAGCCTTAAAAATGTCAATTACCTTGCTTAAAAGAAATACTGAGGCTAAGAACACTGCAGCTTTCTCTTCAAATCCCTGCTTTATTCATAGTGAGTTGACATGATCCATGCTTGATGTCTCAGATTTCTGTTTTAAGGTCATGAATGTGTATTTAGTAGACCGGGTTAGAATTAGTTTGAACACATCAGCTCTGAGTTGGCATTATCGAACAGGTGGTACAGTTTTTAGGCTAACATAGAGTCTCAATAAAGTTGAGTAGGAGCATCACCAGGACAGTTTGTCAGAAGATATTTTTAACTTGAAATGAATTTTCCTTTCTGTAGTGCTATGGATGTAGTCCATGCTTTCATGGACCTTGGCCATTGTTCAACAGTTTTTAAGAATGCAAAGACTCCAGTGCTTAACAGAAGCATAGTGTCTGATCACAATATTTTGCTATCCTAAACATGTCTGTTTCAACTTGATATGTTTATTCTATTCAACATACTGGAGGGAATATGACTCTGCTTAATACTTAATTTTGTCACTCAGCCTGAAAAGCTAGTTCTTATGAGAGAGGGAGAATCCAACCAAACAAACACTCTGGTAACTGACCCAGTTACACTCTGTTGTCCTTCTCAGACCTTTTTAGTTTCTGTGTTCACAAACACAGATTAACACAGGGAACACTCTTATCCAGAACCAGATATCCTTGTACAACCAGTGCTGTTATTTACTGGACTGTATCCAATTTCCTTGCTCTATTAGTGGATTACTGGATTTCCCAGAATGACTTCTGGTAAACCCCAGAGAAAGAATGTCAACATTTAACCACTTTCTGTGGATTACACGCAAGTCAAGTAAAGTTATCTTTCCAATAATTGGTGGATTTATTTTTTCTGTACATCGGTCCTTTCAGTATGATTTTGGAAAAATGGAAAAGCTACAATCCACCAGATATCTAAAATCAAATATATACTTTATGTATTACCCATTCAGGAAGCACAGAGGCCAAAAATGTTGCCGTTGTTCCAAGTCAGAAAACAGTAGTCAGCCTCTTACACTAAGGGTGGTATGTCTTGTACAATATTGTTGTTTTGCATCATGGTTTATTGAGGCTTGTTCAAGTTCTATTGAGTGTCAGTTCAGATTGTTACTGTTCACAAAAAAACTGGTTATAATATTTTTCTCTTTTTTTGAGTGGATATCATATTCTGTATGTTACTTTTGCAAACAATGTCGGCGTCTAAAAGTTTTCTTTGCAAACTGGACTTAACTAACTAAAGCAGTACAACTCCGTTTGTTCTCTCCTTCTACTCCCTCTCTCAGGGTTGGATTCACTCGATGATTGTTCTGATGACTACGAGGATCCAGACTCGTTTTACCCCAGTGCTCATCGAATAAACGCACCAGACAGGGTAAGTGAGAATAGTTCCTTGTTTTACACTCTTCTTCCTCTTCTCCTACTGCACAATGAATGACGGCCGTGTCCTCCCGTAGGATATGTCCCTGCAAGTGCCTGTCAAGGCAAAAGGACAGCGCAGTTCTTTGTACAGTGATGATGAGCAGTTGGATGATGATGAGTGAGTATCGACACAAACCATTAATACAAACCCCACTCAAAATTAGACTGTGCATAGAGCAACGACCAGGATTTTAATCTTTGCAGACATATTATACGATTATTAGAAAATAAGATTGAAGATTATTATGCAAACATTAATTTCAGGTTTCTTTCTGTTGATATTGTTTACTAAGAGTATGTGTGTGTTTGTGTGCTTATTTCTTTGCCCCTCAGTCCCAGTCTATGGCAGGATGGGGGGGGCATGGGCAGTCAGCAAGGAAGCTTCTACCTGCCAAACACGGGCAGACTGACACCGGCCACTAAAGACGACAGCTCTCAGCTTGCTGCTGTCATTAAGATGGGCTGGCTGGACAAGAATCCACCTCAGGGGTATGAATGACAACACACACACACACACACACAAGCTGGGGGTTGTGCTAATTAAAGGGCAAAGATCAATACTCTACACAGATATCTAGTGCATACATGACATTAGCACTATCTCAATCCCTCTTAAAACATGATGACACCAGTATAAAAGATCAAGATATGGCTTTACTGTTAGGGTTGTTTATATTACTTGAACAAATACAGCTAAACTTTTCATGGCATTCATTCTATTATTCACAAAATTACTTTCAACATTGTGCGGTTGGTTTTATGTGCTTTATGCCCGCCATTAATAATTACAATGAAAATGCAATAAATAAATGAAATGCTTTAAATTACTACCCAGTCTGGCTCTGCAAAACCGTTATCCTACTTCCTCTTGTAGAACAGTAAAAGGAGTTTGAACTTCACTCTTCTGAATATACATTTGTGTGTATGCTGTCGTACACAGGGCCCTTTATTATCAGCGAAGATGGGTGAAGCTGGATGTTGACTACGTGAGATACTTTGACAATGAGAAGGTAACAACAAACATGTACAGTAACTACATCACATTAGACACTGTCACTGGGAATCTACATTACAAGCAAGACGTGAGCAGCACGCCAAGCGCCTGCTGAAGCACTCAGTCGGTTTCAGTCCACGCCAACTCCGACTTCACTTTGGTCAGAACCAGCTGTCAGCATTACAGCTTCTGAGGATGCAAAAGGACAGCAGCCTGCCAAACTGTCACTGCCCATAATAGTTTTGAAGTGGGCTCAAGTGGATTCCACGTATTGTATTTATGTATATACAGTATTTAGATTTTCTTTCTCCACCCTCTGTAGCAAGTAGGGGAAGTATTCTTATAGTGAAAGAATAAAACTCATAGCGAAAGTGGGGGTCTTTATCGGTCATTACGGAAAAGTTTAAAACATGTAAGCAGAGGAAAATATGAGTGATTTCAACAACTGCCTGTGCGTATAAGACTTTACGATGCACACCAAACATGCATAATAATGGGTGCGTCCTTTGGTGAGGTGTTTCACACACACGTGCCTCAGTGTTTTCTAAGAGACATTCAAGTGATGGATGCTTCAAAAAGCACTTTCTGTGTGGATTCGCCCTGATACATCAAGACAGCCTTTAACTGTTTAACAAAGTAGTTGTTTCTGTGTGTGTGGTCTGTTATAGGATGTGTATTCTAAGGGGATCATCTCTACCGCCTTCGTTACTAATGTGACCAGTGTGGGCGAGCTGAAGTTTGAGGTCGTCACAAACAACCGAACATTTATCTTCAGGGCTGAAAGTGAAGGTCTGTCTGTTTTTGTTTGGTCATGTCTGTGTGTGCTTTACACACATAAAACAATAATGCATGCTACTGTTTGTAAGATGCCATGTGCATATGTCTTACTGTATGCAAGTACAGTATCTTGGTTCATGTATATTTGTGCATGCATATTTTAATAAACACACGATTATTCATACATGTGTTTGTTTGCACATCCGTCCAGTCGAGAGAAACGAGTGGGTGACTGTACTGAAGGACTGCACCAGGGGGCGCCATCTGCGCAGCACCATGAACCCAGGCTCACCTTTGTCCCCGGACTATCAGGGATATCTGGAGCTCAGAGGGTTACGCTCCAAACTTTATACCGTTGTAGCCTCAGATAAAGTCTTCCTCTACAAAAACATTGAGGTAAGAACTCTCTGTGTGTGTGACTGCAGAGATGAGCAGTGGTATACAAATCACATAGTAGTAGTATGGTCTTTATTTTGCATAACACTATATAGAAGTATTAAAGAGAGTGTGTGTGTGTGTGTGTGTGTGTGTGTGTGTATATATATATATATATATATATATATGAGAGACTATTAAACTACAGAGTAATTAGAATGCATCAGAAAAAACACTGTAAAAAGGATGTCCCCTTCTTGTCTTTTCCAGTTTTGTCTTTTGCAAAAAGCACCAGATAATATTGATAACAGGGCTGTATGTTGTACATGTTTATTAAATCTTACATCATCTTAATTGAAGGTTACGTTTGTAGATTAACTAGTGGTCTTTCTTTCAGCCTACTCCACATTATAAGAAACAGTAAAGTTAATGTGATATAGCAATTTCAAATGATATTTAGAACACAGAAAGTTGAGCCACTCAGAAAAAAAACATCCTTGTTTTTCTTTTTTCCAGGACTATCGTATAGGAGTGGGTATCACATCCATTGAGATGAATGTTGGCAATGTTAAAGACTCAGATCGTCGTGGCTTTGATCTCACCACGCCTTACCGCATATTCAGGTACTGCATGGACACAAAAATGCGACACACACACTTACTGACTTTCTGTCATGTGTACACAGCAAACTTAAACTCTTGACCTGGATGTGCGCTTTGTGTCTGTAAGTATCCAGTGCATGTTTTATGTACTGCACATAGTCTGACTGATTATTACTTTCTTTTGTCATCTCCTCTATCAATTTATGTTCCTCCAAAAGGATTTAAGTGCATATATAATCAATCTTCCTGATAAATCAATGGCTGAGCTGGACTTGGCGCTCGGATATTCAGAGGAAATAAGATCATGTTGTTATACTGAGAACTCCCACCGGCGTCCAGCTATCCTCAGCTGGACATCTTTGGAGAATGTGAAATGCCCTTTGTATGTGTGTGAGTGTGTGATGAAGAGTGAGGGAGATGTGTGTGCACAAGTGTTTTTGTTGGTGTGGTGTGTGTGGTCTTTTGGCTGACAGTGCAAACTGCCTGCAGTGCAAAGGCTCAGCTTGACAGGATGGGAAATCTAAAAATGCTTGTGTATTTGTATAAGAGTTGGACTGTGAGTCATTTTGTGTCTCGGTCTAACTGTGCATTTTTGCAACTTTAATGGTTTGAGAGGTGTGTGTATGTGTGTGTTTTAAGGACCGATGTGTTGTTAGACAGATGAGAAGAGGAAGGATTCAGACATGTGATTATGCGTCAAGCCACAAATCTGTCCGTGTTTGTAAAGTTTCCAGTCTTCGATTCAAGTATTTTTAGCAAAACAAGAGCAGAGTAAGATTCAGTACTCAGTGGGCTCATGAGCATAAGGAGACACTCACACACACACACACACACACACACAGGCTTTCTCATTTCCATCACTTGGTAGTTGTCATCAGCATCGTAATGTCGGCATTAACACTCGGCCGTGTGTTTGTCTCTCTGCGCAGTTTCATCGCAGAAACAGAGCAGCTACGAGAGCAGTGGGTGAACGCCATGAGGAATGCGATCGATGAGGCGCTGTCGAATAGCGAGGTGGCCGAGCGGATCTGGGCGGAGCCTAGCAACAGCCTTTGTGCCGACTGTGAGGCTCCCCAGCCGGAATGGGCTGCCATCAACTTGTGCGTGGTGGTCTGCAAGCGATGTGCAGGTTTGTGTTTGTGGGTTTGGATTCATGTTTATTTTTGTCTTTATTGTTGTGTTTGCATCTATGTTTGTACATTAGGCAAGGTGAATATTTTCTCTTAAACAGATGTTGACATTGTCAGCAAGTTTTGGAGTATAATTTTCATACATGTCTTCAAAATACTTTGAGTTTTATACAGAGGATATATTGTTATATATACATTTTGACAATGACATGACATGACAAATATCAATTAGCCTGGTGTGAAAACACTTGGTTGCATGGTTGCAGTAGAAATTCACAGAACTGTTTGTACTTTATCTTAAAAATGTGTGTGTGTCTGTCTGTTCCAGGAGAGCACAGAGGACTAGGTCCTAGCATCTCAAAGGTTCGTAGTCTGAAGATGGACAGGAAAGTCTGGACAGAGGAGCTTATACAGGTACACACACGCACACACACAAACAAACAAACAAACAAACAAACAAACAGGAGTTTTTTATACAGAATAATATACAATTTATAGCAATACAATATACAATGTCCACAGTGACCTGAACTACTTATTCATGACCAATTCATTTAGCTGCTTAAACCCAAACAGAGCTGAAGATTAATTTATACTGAGGTAGCATTTTATTTGGTACACTTACATAACGTAATGCAGTCTAATATAACAGCCTTGCAGTTAATCCTTGTGAAGCTCAGCATGTAAAGTTTTTGTGGACACTGTGTCAGGGGTTGGATTCAACTCTGTGGTAATTTCTGAGGCAGTAGTTCGTGGTGATGTTGCATTATATTGATGTACACACATAAGGGTAGAGCATATTGGCAGCTTGGTCCAATATGATGAAAATAATACGAAGAATGTACAGGCATGCTTAATAAATTGCACAGTGTATATGGTCAGACAACAGTGCACATCTTGGCCTCTGCATGTGCTTCCTATGCCCCTTAATGTGGAAATACTTCTCCTAAACCCCACCTGTGATGCAGGTGTTTCTGTTGCTGGGCAACGAGCGGGTAAACAGCTTCTGGGCGGCTAACGTCCCGCCAAGTGAAGCTTTGGAACAGTCTAGCTGCAGTGAAGAGAGACGGCGCTTCATCACCAACAAGTACCGCCACGGCAAATACAGGAAGTACCACCCGCTATTCAGAAACCAGAGAGAGCTCAACAATGTAAGTTGAAATCACTGCTTTGATTGTTTGCTTTTGTGTGTGTTCCCCTAACATTTGAAGTTGATACACACACTGGTTATAGAGATTTAATATGCAAAACTACATTGGAAATTCTTTCAGTCAACAGACCTTGGGAAAGTGAGGTTTAGGGAGGATTTAGAGGCGACCGAGATCATTGGTTTAGCAAGCCGCTGTGACTAAATTGATGACTGTAGTAATAGTATTGACTCTGCCCTTTGCATCACAATACAGTTCCTCCTTTAAGATTTTTTTTTCCAGCAGCTGTGTGCATATGTCTCATAGAGTGTCACAGGCTTAGTTGTGACTGGGTTTTGCACGGAAACTGTCAGAAAAATGTACTCGACACCGATTTAAAAATCATTAAACAGGACATTTATTCTTGCAAGAAGGAACAGAGTTGATTCACATACAGAATATGAGTCAAGTGGCTGCTCAAACGTCTGTCTCTGAGTCTCTGACATATATATACTGAGGATAACACACAAGTGCATTGGAACAGAATGATTTGCATAAAGTCTGGACATCATTTGGATTCGTTTCTTTGGTAATTCGTTCTGTCAAGGGTCATCTTATCCTAATCTCGGAAGACATCATGGTTGCAAATCAGCCTACGTATATACTGACGTGAACACAACAGGTTTACTATCAACCCTTGACGCCCGGTCACAAGTAAACAAACAGATGAGATAGACAACTAAGACACTTAATGGAGAATACAGCTGAGAAAAGCTTGTGTGAAGATTGGTTCATAGAAGGACACAGACTTTATGGAACCAGCTGCTTAGATTACAGTGGCTAAACAAAAACATTATTTAAGTTTTTCCAACATAAACATACACACACACACATGTACATCTGCATGCTGACTAATCAGACTGTGACAAAGATTCCAAGAATAAAGAAGTGATCAGACTGTACAGATCCGTTTGAAAGATTGACTGACAGAGAGACAAAAAAACAACAACTGGCCTTTCCAAAATAGCAAGTATGTATGTTTCCCCTCGCCAGATAGCCGATTCAGGCAAGCTATGTTTTCACTTCACCTCAAAGTGGAGCATTCAAGAAACTGATTTGAACTGACTGCAGTTGGAGTTAAACGCAAGTTGCTAGATTGCAAAAGCTGGCTGAATCCCAGATTAAGTCCAATATTTAAAGCAGGCTCAGTTGCAATAATCTTTATAACTGACATTCAGAGTCGAGCTAAATTAGAGTGATACTTAATTTGTCTTGTGGATTCCCGGCTTGCTTCTGAGTCATCAGTGTTTGCAAAACATATCAGCACATACTAGTTTTGTAAGAGAATCAGCAGTGGCCTCTATGTTAGGGAGATGTCACAATGAAGTCAGGACCCTGAAGACAACATCCCTCTCAGGGTGGACTACCAGTAATTCTGATCTGTCCTTGTGTCCCTGTTAATGGAAGAGGTCAGAAAATGCATTCCTCCACCCCGTAAACATGACAAACTTAGTCAGTAAAAGTCAGAAACAGGACACCTGGGAACAGTTTCTGAATGGCTGGAGTCGGGGGTTTTGTATTGTGCCTTCGCTGTGCTCCACCGTGTGCAATAAATGTCTTAGTGTGTCAGACTCTACTGGGTCACTCATTAGCTGCTTAACCCACTTAACTGCAAACAATGTGGACTGCTCACAGACGCACTGAGTGTGTGAGTGAGTCAAATTTAGCACCTGACTGTGAGTTCTATTTTTCCTCACTCAAGCGTTCAAACTTGTGTGAGTGAGTCACTGTGTTTGGGATGTGCAGAAGAAGATAAAGGAAGTTTTCTTGTTGTCACACACACACACATGCACTAATCACTACTGGTTTTTGGTCGAAAGCCATGTTGTTCAGCCGCTGGTCCTCCCTTCTTCCTTTAGTCCTCCTCCATGATGGCTTTCTCTTTTTCCCGCTTTGCTTTCCGTCTTGAGAATGTTTGTTTGAATTCAGAACTTCGCCTCATTTCAAGCAGAACCTGCTCTACCTGTTCTTTTGTTAATTGAAAATACTTGAAGTTCCTCGGCGTTGCTACACTTTCCACTCGGGTGTGTCTTAAGAAATAACAGACTCTGCAATGGGTTTGAGTTAACTTTGCAGTTATGAAAGAAAACATTGACAATAAGGCCGTGTGTGCGAGGGTGGAAAGGAGAGAGAAACAGAAGTGTGTACTGTGTGAGTACTGCTGGAGTGTCTCTGGCTCACATTCAGGTTTGTTTATCAAGTCTCTTTTTTTCCTCTTCTTTTTGAATGTGACATCATTACACACTGCTTCAGCTGGAATGTGCTGTAACTCCACCTCTCCCTCTCTTCCCCTCCTCATTGTTTGCTTCGACTGCAGCAGAAAGTTGATCTCTTCGCTCCTGGCTCCTTTTCTTATTCGTAAGTTGCTGGTATTCCCTTTAACTTTCTGCCAGACTAAAGCACCACAAACTAGGTTTGTTTTTGTTTGTTTTTGGCATGTGCAACCCTGTGTGTGCGCCTGTCTGCGTCGACTGACATTCAAACAGAGCAGTGATTGAAAGGAACTGAAAACTTGCAGGTAAGGTTGTGTGTGCTAGTGAGCTGTAGGAGGAAGGTAGTGAAAGTATTTGTGTTTGTCTGAATCTGTGTGTTTTTTGTAGATTACCTCTGGGTGAGTGTAGGAATGTATGTCAGTGGACCTTGGATCTCTAACAGTACGTTATCTCAGTGCAATGAAACAAACACATACTTTAATGCGTCTGTGGGTCATAGTTTTGTCTCAAGGCTGCTGAACTGCTACTGTAGCTGTAAGTCAGTGAGCACATTGGAGTTATTGTGTGTATGGTTTTCACTGGGAGTGGGCTGAGATACGTTAACATGCATATTAATGTGTGTGTAGGCATGTTTCTCTGCCCTTTGCATTTTTGGTCTGTGTTGCTCTCTCTGTCCGTGTGTGTGTGTGTGTGTGTGTGTGTGTGTGTGTGTGTGTGTGTGTGCATGTGTTCTCTGTGTAATCGGAGTAGACAACCTCACCTCTGTCAATGGACATCATTGTTTCTCTCGCTTGGTCCCTTGCTGCTTTGTGTCCTCTCTCCTTTGCACTAGGTAGTCAACTATTGATGCTCTCCGCAGTCTTTCATGAATTAATTGGGTTTCGTATCCTCTTGCAAGAACATAGTGTTCATATTTTAATGAAGCATTATTCAAAATGTGTTGGAGCATGTCACAAATCCCAAACTCATCTTGGTTTTCTTTTTTATGTAGTATGTTTGACAGCCAGTCTTGCTTCATGGTGTCTTATTATCGTATACTAATATCTTTTTCAAAGCCTTTTGATTGACATGCATGTCAAATTTCTTAAAATGCTTTGTTGTTTGGTGGTTTCCTTTTCATGTCTTTGTGAGAGAGTGAAGAAACCAAGGAGCCCTGTTTCGGTCGATAAAAAACGTTTGACAGAGACATGCTCAGTGTGGCCTTGAGGTATTTACCACAGAGAGAAGTATTGGCAGTTTGAAAGTATGTGTGCCAAGTTTAACTTATGGACAGTTATGTAAAGCGAGACTTGTTTTCATACATCTTTTTGTTGCATTTGTTGAAGCAAAGCTGTCTGCTTAAGATTGTAAAACCCATCCACCATTTTTGTCCGAGCATTAGTGAGTATGAGTTAAAGTCCTCCCACCTGGACAACCACAACCAATGACTGATCCCACTATTCTTAAGCTTCTGTTTGTTTTGTCTATGTCGACTTCATGCTGACAACCAGCGTTTTCTTTATTATAGCAAACAGAGCTGAGAGGCTGTAGTAAAAACTCTTTATGGGCTTGTTTTTGTGCTTTTATAGTTATGGAAAGTGGCTTTTACACAAAAGAAAAGCTCCATCTCTTCTACCCTTTCTTTCTGTCCAATCCCTGCTCGTGCTTGTTCTTTTGACTCATCTTTATTCCCTTTTCCAACTGAGTCTTCTCATTGTCTCATTCAATAATTGTATCTTATTGTAGTATTTCAGTCATTAATCCTTTTCAATTGTACAGAAAGCTGGGATCTGCTTTCTTGTTTTTTTCCCAAGTTCTTTTCTTTTCTGCCCTATTTGTCTTTTTCTGTGTCTGTCTGTCTTTGTGTTTTTCCTCTATGCTGCATTCATTCTTCTCTTCTCTTTTCCCTTCATCTGTCTGGCTTTTTACCTCCTTCTCCATCTCCCTCTGTCTGTATACTGACCCTGGTGAGGTAATGACGGGACATATGTGAATAACTCTTTCTCATCTGGATTTAATATATGGACGTGCATACACACGTGCTTTTGTGCTGGACATTCGGTATGTGCTAAAATGGACAAAGCAGAGTCGGCTGCGTGTGTGCGTGTGTGTGTGTGTGTGTGTATGTGTCAGTACAAAAGAGGTCTGATTGTATTATATTCAGTTTGTAGCCGAGTACAATTAGTCTCTAATTAATGTGCCCCACTAAAATGCTTTCATCTTCCTTTCACAATATTTTCTTTTTTCTGTGCCTGGCATCCTTTTCTTTTCCTCCATTTCTGTCCACTATAACTGCAGAGGCCAGATGGAGGCCTGTGTTTTTAGACACACCCAGATAACATCTCTCTCTCTCTCTTGGGAGATTTGGTAAGATTCTTGAATTCCCTTCTCTTCTCTTTCTTTCTTTCTATGTGTGTGTGTGTGTGTGTGTGTTATTCCATTACTCCCTGTTTCATAAGCAGCAGATGTTGGAGGGCGTGAGGTCTTCAAACACCCATTTCCTCATTGTACTTTGTTCTGATAGGTGCAACTCTCTTCGTCAGAATTCACGTGGTTGACTATTGATTCATTACAGGACACTGACCTACATACAACATGGCTTTCATATTTATGTCCACATGGGACAGAGGGCTTGTTATGTTCAAATTTACTGGAAAACACACACACACACACACACACACACACACACACACACACACACACACACACAGTAGTTTGAAGGAAAGGGAAGCAAGAGACTGCAAGATAAAGCAGGGGAAATCCAGTAAATTGTGTGTCTTGCAAAGGAAAAGAGAGAATGCGCTGCCATATCCAAGCAGAAAAAGGCGGAGACACAAAATATCGATCAAACCCACCCCAGGGATCAGCACTCTGTCTAGCACATGGTTTCCCATTGACACTGGCACTCATGTGCTTTTCTGACTGTTGCACGTTCTAGGTATTCAGACTGAAATAAATCTTTTGCACTCCCTCACCTCGGTGGCTTCACTGTCTAGTGTGACATTTATCCCCCTTTAACCACGATCACAGTACTCTAGGAATGCATCCCGATAGCGATACCTGGGCTTTGGGTATTGGCTGATACCGAGTACCAATCCGATACCAGTGTTTGATTAATAAGCTGTATGCCACACTGTGTGGAAGTGACTGGGATACAAAATCTCTCTTTAAGAATCTGTTCAGTTTTGCCTCGCTATAAACATGATTTACTTTGTGAATCATTGTAATATCTATCGTCAAACAGCTGTTTAATAATGTATTAATTAGTCTGTTGCTTGCCTTCTAAAGTTTGTACGGCACAATATATCTGCTTTCAATAGTTCACTAGCATTATTTTTTGGCTCTCGTGTGATCCATACAATGAGGCTGTTGGACTGCACAATACATGCACATGGATGTGTTCCACTCCAGATCGCTGGCTAACTTTTAGCACAGATGTCTTCACTGTTGGAGGCAGAGAAATGCTGTTTGTTTCTAAGTCTTTTGTGCGCATAGCGTAGGGGTATCTTGTGCAATTGGAATCTTTGTTAATTGGTTTGTTTATGTGTGCCTAGAGGCTCAAGAGTGTATAAGTAGAGGAGGGGTTCTGTCTGTGGGTGTCTGTGACAGAGTGATGTGGAATTTCTCAATCAGATCCAAACGAGCTTGTTGGTTTTAACAGTAGACGGACTGTGTGTGTGTGTGTGTGTGTGTGTGTGTGTGTGTGTGTGTGTGTGTGAAAACAAACTGAGTTCCTCAGCTGTAAAAACACTGCATTCTCTTCTCAGTCACATCTTTTGTATTCCGCCTTCCCCTCCTTCCACTGTCTTTACATATGGGTTCACAGTATCTTTTGACTTTTTGATCTTATCGTGTGTTTTCTACATTCAGCAAATACTTGTTTTCTTGTTTTTCCAAAGACACATCTGATGTGTTTTTGTTTCCCCATCATTTCCCACCAAATCTGTGTGCATTTCCATCTTAACGTTTCATTTTTGGTCACATGGCTTCATGTTGCACATTCAAAGGTTGTAATTAGTCTGCTTGGATGTAATGGAAATATTGTAATTACCTCAACAGTTCCTTTAGTGAAATATCAACAAATGTCACACTTCAATAATACCGCTGAATTAAATTTCACAATTAATTAAAAATAATCTACATTGATTGTGCAGCCCCAAACAAGAGCAGTAAAAGTTATCAGACAAGTTAGCTTTTAATCTGCTCTCAGATCAGTGTTCACTTCACTGGTGCTCCTTTGAAGTGAAGTAAAAGGTTCATGGGGACTTCCAGACTCATCATTAAAAAATGTCTCCAGGCTTCTTTGATATAAAATCTTGATTAAATGTGCATATAGTGGATTTTGAGTGGACTCAGCAATTGGCAAGAACTTAAAACATATAAATCCCAAAATAATGACTTACTTTTTTTTTTTTATTGACAGTACAATATATTTGTTTCTCAACAATAACAAACAAGACACTGTGTTAACTTCCACTTGGTAATGCTATAGCAGTGTGTAAAGCAAGGATGCTCATTACACTGTTGGTGGTTATGGATCAGTTGAGGGCCTGCTGGAGGTTTTAACCTCCCTACACACACACACACACACACACACACACACACACTTTATTTTAACTAACCAGGTTAAGATTCACTAGGTTAAGTAAGTAAAGTAGGTTAACTGTAAAAGGCAGATTTTGTCATTCTACTCAGTCCCAAAAAATATGCTAATTGGACTTGCTGCGATCATTTGGTTTGATTTTCCCTGCGTTCAAATGGTATCGTTACATTTAGTATTTGACGTAAGTCCGATGGGAGCATTCTGTACACTGAGCAACACATCACTCTCTCTCCGTCAGTAGGATTTAATTGTGTTTTGCTTTTCTCTTCCTCTCCCTAGGCTCTTTGTATAAATGTGCAGTGCAGCGATGTGCTGGAAACGTTGAGCTTGATTTTCTGCGGTGCAGATGTGAATTGTTCAACTGGTATGGCAAGTTGGCCCTCTGCTCTCTCCCTGGCCAACGCACACTCGCAACCCTTACAGGCTGAGTTAATAAGCCTCAATCTCAACACAGGTACAGTAAGACTGCACATGCACAGGGTTACATAAAAGCACCTTATTGAATGCATCGTCCTCATACTATCTTTGATGTGCCACTGTCGTACCATCAACATTTTTCTACCATGTCATTCCTAAATGTTACATAACCAAACACACATTCTGTTCATAATGTACATACTGTTTTCCACTTATCTTTACCAGAGGCACTTCTCCTATATCAGATCGACTCCCAGAAGATGACAGCCTGCATGTTTTTACACAAGAAGATTTTTTTTAAACTTTTGTTTGTTTGTTCTCCTGCAGAGCTGCCACGGTCAGAGATGGATGAAGACAAGCCGATACATTACTCAGCACCACGTTGTGTGTCTCACAATGGCTTCCTGTTCAAGACTGCATCCATGGCTCGGGCCATCACAGAGCGCAAGGGCAAAGACGGTATTCACGTAAACCAATCGGCACTAACACTTACCTACGCTCCTCACCGTAAAAAAAACCCCACTAATACTCAATACACTGTGTATTTGTAAAGCCTCTTTCTAAACAAAGTCATGTCGTAGTTGCTGTAAACATACAAGAATATAGTGTCTACAGATTACTATAATTCTTAATATTATGCTTTGTCACTCTTTATTTGTCCCTCCATGTAGAGTTCAGTCGTCGCTGGTGCACTGTGAATGATGGCACCTTCAGCTACTATGAGAGTGACAAGAACTCGAACCCTAACGGTGCTTTGAAGGCTTCAGAGATCGTCTGCTTAGCTGTTGACGCGCCTGAGAGACACGGGTATATACACGCACGCAAACTGATCCATTTCCAATTCATTTTACTGTCTGTATTAAATTACTGCATCTGTGTAAAACTGAAACTGGGTTTTATTTTTCAGTCAGCTGTCTGAGTGAAATACTCACAACGCATGTCTCGACCATGAACATAGCTTTTTTCCTAATCTCTCTTTCCCTCCCATTTTTTTTCAAATATCACTCTCACTTCCTCCTAACCTCTCTTCCTAACACTCAGGTATGAACACACCTTTGAACTTTACTCGGGGTCAGAGCGTCTCTATCTGTTCGGCACCGATGACCCAGACAGCCACAAGGAATGGGTCAAGTCTATTGCCAAGGTAACCACCAAATACCTGTCTAGACACACAAGCACAAATACTTTTACTTTCTCCTCAGGTGGACCCTTACAGAGGGACGGTATTTTTCTGTAGTGAAATTGGAGAGCACTGATAAGTGCAGTTCCAGGTCAGCTGAGATGGGAAATGCTGCCTAGTGGTCAGCACAGGGCCAGCTAATGCTGACTTGTTTCCTGTGCCTCTTATTTTCCTTCAGAACAGCACTCTTTACAGCTGATGTCATTGTCAGCTGCATGATGCTGTGCAGCAACAGTTAATTTGACCTTCTGCTCTGCAGAGACCGCTGAAAGTGGACGTTGCAAAGTGATTGTACACACAATCCTGCAATTATTGTAAAAACAATTATATCAGAGTTATAGCATCACAGGAAACATAAATGCCAGGATGGTAGATTGTCCTTCTACACATCCGTGGCTCAAGTCGAGCCACAAAGACGGCAATTCCCCTGCCATCATTGAAATACTGTACGGGAGCTTTAACCTTTCTAACAATTACATTAGTATTGGCTTTCGCAGAGGAGTTCAGTAATGCACACTCTGAAGTAGGTAATCATCATCAAAAGAGAAAGCAGACAATGATTAATGTGCAATGTGTTAAAAAGCCCGAATGTCCCCCTTTTATTTGTAGAGTTTTATCCCGACAACCGCAGAGCCGCTACTGAAGTTGACTTTTGAGCGGATCGGGCGGCTGAAATGTAAAGACGGCTTGAACCTACAAACATCCAAGGTGGGCTGGTTTGCTCTGGTGGGCTCCACACTTCACGCCTACCTGGAGGACAGCCAGGGACAGCCAGAGGAGATCCACCTCCGCAAACTGAATGAACTCTGTGAGTAAGATGCATGGACACAAACTGTATTTCTAACTGTATATGTACTGTAATCTGTACACACACACACACACACACACACACACACACACAGTGGTAGGGTGCTCAGAGTGATGATTGAGCAGACATGGAACAGTCATTTGGAAATATACCAGAAATAAACATATCAAGAGTATGAAATATAGAAGTTTGAAGGACAGACATACTGTGACGTTTACTCGGTTTAAAAGCATGGCTATCTGGAATAATAAGATTACTATGTATGTGTTTTTTTACAGCGATTCAACAAGACAATGAGGTGCTGGTTCTGGTGGAGAGAGGCAGGTGAGAGGGGAGATTGTTAGAATGGTGATACAATGACTTCACAACCTGTCACACAATGTAAAGCCCCTTTATACAGTGTACAGTCAACAGTATAGTAATGTGTATCTTTTTAAATTCAAAGTTTACTCTGAATCATTTTTGGTGTTTTCTAAATGCCCCCCCCCCCCTCCCCCCTTACTCCCTTGCATTTTTACATTGTTCTTCTTCACTTGTTAATTGCCATGTTCTCTTTTTTTACTCCTCTTCTCCCCTCTGTCCCCCTCTCTCTCTTTATTCAGAACTCTGTACATAGAGGGAGAGAGGAAGTTGGATTTTTCCGGCTGGTGCGGTGCCATCCAGGCGGCAGCGGGGAGTGGAGGAGACACACTGAGCCAGCAGCAGCTGACAGAGACAGACATACCTGTCATAGTACACAGCTGCATCGGCTACATCACGCGGTGCGGTAAGAGACAGACAGAGATGTACACGGACAGAGAAACAAACACATATACGTGCCTGCATTTACATCACATTTACACTACAGGAGTCTATATACCAGTACGACGACATGCTTGTAAGTTGTAGCCTTTAGAGAACAATGCCTCAGCAGCGTTTAGCCAAATTAAGTCTTGTTTTGAGGTGAAATAGTGTTTTACACTTTATACAAAGGTATTTTTAAATTCGTATGAGTTGAAATTTCTAAATCTGTAATGGACCATATGATCTTTTCTGTTTAAATTGAAATATATGAAAGTTGGATGAACGAGGTTTTCTAATCCTACACTGGTTTTTACAGTATGTCTTTTCTGAGAGGTACAGTATAGACATAGCCTGTGTTTCTATCATTATCTTGTGTATGCTTATTTTGTTTTTTTTCTAGGCTTGACCTCTGAGGGGATATATCGTAAGAGCGGTGTGCAATCCCGTGTAACAGCGCTGTTTGAGAGATTTCATCGTGATGCTCGCAGTCTCCTTCTGAGAGAAGGAGAGCACCAGGTGGACGACGTCTCCAACATGCTCAAACGCTTCTTCAGGGAGTTAGGGGAGGGACTGTTCACATCACAGGATGCCAGCACCTGGCTCAGTGCAGCTGGTAAGATTCACAAGACTGTCGTTGTGCCCTGCAGCCTAGTCACGCTGGGATTTGAGGATAGATATCCAGGTGGATTTTCTATTTTTTTTACATGTGACTTGGAGATACTGTGAGACTTCTGCTGCCACTCCACTGCAATAGAGGTGAATAAAATGGGAAATCCACAGATCTCGCCCTGTAAAGTTGTAACAGTTAGGGACTATTTTCTACTTCAAAACTAGTCCCAACAGACTTGACATTGTATTGGTGTGGCAAGAGATGTCTCAGTGGCTGATATCTGCAAGGGTGGCGAGTTTCACTTCCAGAAAGTTCGGAGAACTTCGAACTCTGGAGTGTTTACTATTTAAACTACGAAGGAAATATAGTGGAAGCAGAATGATTTCAGTTGCCAGATCAGATTTGCTGGCGACGCTACAGCTAGGTTTCAGGTGTCACCTTTCTGACGCCATCTGTTATACAGAACTCCATACAAACACCTGCACTTGTTTGCATGTCAGTTCACAAATATAGCTTTTGTGTCAGAGCACTACATTCACACTGTATCAGGAGCTTGTCACTTTTAAGTCCTTTTTAAGTTGAATATTGTTTTCTTTTCTTCCTCCTTCGCTGCATTTGTCTAATAATATCATCTCCATTCATCTCTCTTTCTCTCCCTTTTGCTCTCTTACACTTTCATCCTGTGCTTTCCATCTTTCACCCATCACTTCCTGACACTTCTCTTTTCCTTTCCCTCTCTCCGTCTCTTACTGCAGCTATTCAGGATGAAAGCAAGAAAATCTCCCAATACCGGCTGCTGTTGAACAGACTGCCTTGTGTCAACAAGGCTACACTACAGGCCCTTATCAACCACCTCTATTGGTGAGAAACACACATATTTAAATGATCTTGTACCCCCGTGCATGTCTTTGTGCATATACCCATGTATATTTTCCCTGCATGTTTTGTAGCGTGCAGCGTTTTTCTGAGCTGAACCAGATGAACCTCCATAACCTGGCCATAGTATTCGGTCCCACAATGTTCCAGAGCGACGGGAAGGACTTCAGTGCTGGCCGCGCCATAGAGGACCTCATACAGCACTACACATCAATCTTTGAGGTCAGACTCGCTGCTCACTGTTAGACAGAGGGATGACAGGAGGGTAAAACAAAGTTGTCCTCTAAGCCGTGTCATTTATCGAAAGTGATGACATCAGAAAGTGGCAAACTCAACACAGAGTGCGTAGCTTGTAAAGGTTGAGATCTCAAAGAGCATGCCATCTTATATTTGCTGCAAGATTAAGCTCCAAAAAAGCAGAAAACCTTCAAGAAAAGATTCCAGTCTCTCCTATTTTATTATTTTTCATTATCAGCATTAAAATGCTTTGTGTTGATAAACATTCTTACAATGTTTGTTTCAATTTAATAGAGAAGTAGATGGGAAAACTAGAAGAAAGTGAGTAAATACATGATGATGGGAATAATGCCTCTTATGAGCTTAGAATGAAATCCCTGCAGCCGTTGTCAAAATATACTTTTCTCGAAAAACAACCACCCATCTAGAAAAAAAGCCTAGAATGAGTAAACAAAGAGGGTTGAAATGCTGGTGGGGATTTCTGCCAGAGATCTAAAGATTGTCGTGATGCTGTAACTAAAGTATTATTAATGGTTAAGTTTGGTTTGTTGTTTGTGTGAGAGAATGATTGTGTTCATACTTGTTTGCAGGTGGATGAACAGCAGCTCAAGAAGCAGCTGGAAGAGATCACTGTTATCATCAAAGTGCGAAATCTCGATACGTTTCCTGTGAGTCACTCACACACAATACTCTCCGGTGCTGTTTGCACGCTTGTATGCATGCACCCGTTTGCTGCAGTTGGGCATCTTTGCATTCTGTTATTTGTTATCCTAATGCTGTTATCTTTTTGTCTGACCTTTTTGTTTGCGGACACTTCAGAATCCTGAACCTGGAGGGCACTTCATCTGTACAGTGTACCTGGAGGAAAAGAAGGAGACAGCAGAGCAACACGTCAAGGTGACCTGGACTTCACCAAATGACACACTGGGCCTCATTCAGGAAACAATATAAGAACAAATTTCCTCATATTTTTGTTCGTATCCACGATTTGTTCTTATTCCGTTACTACCCATTGATATCTGGGATTCACCAATGTTTTCTTAGAACATTTTACAACTGGTTGAGAGCACTCTTACTGTACCAATATATGAAAAAACATCTTGTTTTCACAGTCCACAAATTGTTGTATGTTTTCTAGTAATTATAATGATTTGATTATTAAATATGGGGGCTAAAGAAATACTATTGGTTCATTGATACCAGTTAGGACTATTGAGACGATATTGCGTGTGTTAAGCTTCTGAATAGATTACATACTGCTCTTCGATGCTTTTAGATTTTCCTGTAATGCCAGTACCTCAATTTCATGCTGAAGTTCTTCTTCTCACAGTCTTTTTTTGGTGGCATCTCTCCAATACTTGGGCATGTATTTGCACACAAGCACATCACATGTCCTTTATAGTGTTTAGGGTGCGTTATGCTTATAATAAAAAACGGCCACACGCCTCCATCTTATGATCAGTTGGTACACAGCCACAATTTCGCCCTTTGTTTAAGAGAGTGAGACTCTGGAGTAACTGCGTAACTTTTTCCCTCAGATCCCTGGTTCTATGACCGCAGCAGAGCTGACCTGTGAGGTCCTGGACCGGCGTAACATCCGGGTTAAAGACAAAGAGTACTGGAACTGCTGGGAGGTCAGCGACAAGGAGGAAATGGGTGAGAAGGATTAGAAGACAGAGGGAGATGGCATAACATTTGTCAAAAATCTTTTTTGGGGGTTTTTGATGTTGAAGCAGAGGATTTTGGCTCATGTACAGATATGCTCTTTTGGTTAGGAAATCAACATGAGTTTATATGTAAAAATAACATGGAAAAAAAAAATCAAAACGCCAGCAGCGAACCAAGAACAATGACGCAAAGCTTGTGAAGTGCCCTCCACTCAGCACGCAGCATGACCTACTCAAAGTGACACCGAACCCCAGAGGCAAGAAGATCATTCTGTGATCGTGTGCCGTGGTTTGTTATGAGCCTGGTATGTGGGACATCTGGTTCCCCACCCGGAAGCCTGTAGGTGGCTTATCTAATGCCAGTAACTCGCAACTGTTTTAGCAGATTTCCCATCACTGTCCAGTAAACCAATCTGCTGATTACAGGAGGAGAAGGAAGAATGATACAGGGAAAAGGAAGGGTGTTAGAAAGAGTACGAGTGACGAGCTGGAGGGGATTCTCTCTGTCACTTGTTTGATACAGACGTCACTTGTCTGTTACAATAACAAAAGCTATTTTTGAGTTTCGTATGAAGGCGTGCGTCACAGCTCAAACTGCTTACAAGGATGAAAAGCGACATCACTGTATGCCACATCTGCATTCCATTGTTCACTGAAGTAGGAACACAAAAACACAGCTACGAAAATCACTGTGCTCTGTCAATCACGGCATCAAGAGCTCAAGAGCTGTTTTGTCTAAGAATGATCAGGTGAAAATGATTTGAGGATTCTTAAAATTCTTTTATATGACCCTGCGTTGTGTTGCTCTACTTCCCTCAGAACGTCCACTGCACTATCAGGAGCGAGTCTTACCCACCCTTCACTCCTTTGGCACCGAGTCCCATCTGCTCATCAAGAAACACCTCGCTATGGAGGCGATGATGCTCTACCTGGGTAAACACACAAACCAACAGCCTCTCTAAATCACTGCATTGCTTGTCATCAACGTCACTTTCTTCTTAATAATCTGCCCCCCCCCCCCCCCCCAGCCAGTAAAGTCGATGCATCCAAACACGGGATGATGAAATTCAGAGAAGAGCGAAGCATCTTGGGACGCCCCTCTGGAAGTTTCCACGACCGATATTTCGTCCTCAATTCCAACTCTCTCAGAATGTACAAGGAAGTGAGAGTAAGATTAAAAAGATTTACTCTGAAAAAATATGACTTTCTCATTTGTTCTTGTCCCATTCCTTCACGGGCTCTTCACTATGTCTCTGTCTCTCTCTCTCCGTCTGTCAGAGTAACCGTACAGAACGTGATTGGCCAGTGAAAAACCTAAAGTTCTACATGGGTATTAAAAAGAAAGTCCGTCCTCCTACATGGTGAGTACATGCAGTGTGGCACTGATGCCAATTTTTATCCTCCTCATAATTACTGAGTGGCAAAGCAGTCTTTCTCCCCAGAGAGTATAAAGTGTGCTTATCTTAATGTCTGAATATTAAGAATATCCCTCTGGACCGTGGTCGGGCCTCCTGCCATGGCCCTGCTGACACCCACTGCTGCCATCATTATTTTTATTAGTCACATTACTATTTCTATTACCGATACCATTACTGCTTTTATTATCATTATCATTACTGCACTTCTGTCCATCCTGGGAGAGGGATCCCTCCTCTGTTGCTCTCCCTAAGCTTTAAAATAAATTTAATTAAATTGAAAATTGAATAAACTTCTTGCTGGAAGGTATAAGCCTGATTACGGTTTATACTTATTGGCAGAAAAGGATTTTTTTATGCACACGACTGCTATAGCATACAAGAGTACAACAATGTTTTATTTATTTTTGAATTTTCTTCCTTTTTCGGTGCTATTTGTCATTGTCAAATTAAAAAAATAATGTGTTTTTGGTTGTAGACTTTGTTTATAAATCTCTTTACTGTGTAAAACCCCTGGTGATGAAGATCAGCTCCACGTATGATTTATATACCTAAATCAAGCATCCGTTGAATAATGCAATACATAAATGTGAAAAAATCTAGAATAAAATAGCTCACGGTGACTGGTAAACAGAATGACCACTAGGGGGCAGACTGAGCCCGATAACTATAAGCGCTGGGACATTTATAGTTGTACTGCTGTTGAACAAATATCTTTCTGTCTCTGTTTTTCTAGTTGGGGACTAACAGTCGTGTATGAGGGTAAGAAACAAGAGAAACAAGAGAAGCAGGAGAGACAGCAGTGGTGAGTAGATGTCCAGTTCTGTATGTAATACACGTTGCCCTTTTATATACAATACACAGCTGTCAGCCAATAGTACTCATAGCTCAGGCCGGTCCTACTCATGTTGTCCATTTCAACAAGCACACGTGTTTTATTCAAAGCATTGTATTTATTCAGTATGACAAAAGAACTGAAGATTATGAGCTTTTAAAATTCTCTTGAAGAAATGTCTTTCCTGCTGTGCTAGTTAAAGCATCATACTATACTAAAACACACTGCTGCAGCTTTTTCTCTTTTACTTCCCCAGTAGAAGGCAGCCTTCAGTGCAAACTTATTCAGTCATTGTGACAGATCTGCTGTCCTTTTGTTTAGCAGTCGCTTACATTTTTCACTTAGTGGCGGTATGATTACACTTATCACCAATCTTAGAAAAAAAGCTAGCGGTTTCGCTGCAGGCAGAGAAAACAGGTCAGGTCCCTGCATGAGTGTTTGGGGAAGGAGGCATTTGAAAGGTCGGTTCCACCCAGGAGGGAAACACGCGTACACCTGTAACCATGCCTCCATTCTAATCCGTTCATATATAATATACATCCCTCTTAGTTGAATGTGTTGCATGCTCTGTGTGTGTCTGTGCATTCACGTTGCGATGGGCCTCTACTCTGTCAACAGCGGTAGGCATCAGCACTGTTGTAATGGGAGTGCGTTTACGCTCCATCGCCATGTTGCTCACAGCAAAAAACACACACCTGAGAGGAGGAAACTGAGAGGGGGGGAGGGGATGTGGAAGAAAGATAAAGAAGTCGGGGGGAAAGTAGAAAGTAGAGAGGCAACGTGTCACGCTGAAGGGGAGAAACCATATGCTAAGTAAGAAATTCTGCATTGACTCCAGGTAAACGAAAACGTAGTGAGGAGAAGAGTGGTTATAGATAAGGCAGAGAGTTGAAATTATGGAAAAATGAATGGATGTAGAGGCGCCCATGTGGCCCTCTCTTCCAATTTTACTTACCCACCTGCACTTAATGTCGCTTAGTTTTATCCTGTTATTGCTTCCATCCCATCAAATCTCTCCAACACTTTTACAATTTTATCAGCACATTCTTGCAGTCGCTGCACTTAAGCTACTTAAATTTTCTGAATATTATGTAAATTTCATTCTGTGCCTTTATGAAAACCTAAGATGATAATGAGCAGCATTTATTCTTCTGCAGCTGATAATGTTCTGAAGTTAATTGCACTGAAAGTAAATGTATTGTAGAACATTACCGAATACTGCGGTATAGTTACAGCGTGTGTGATAGAAGAGAGTTACTGTCCTGTTTTGAATCCCAATAAGCACTAATGAGCTCTGTTGGCCCTAATGATGCAAACCAGGGAGTGTGTGTGTGTGTGTGTGTGTGTGTGTGTGTGTGTGTGTGTGTGTG